TCACTTGACGCCGATCAGCTCCACGTCAAACTCCAGAGTGGCGTTGCCAGGAATCTTGGGCGGGGCTCCCCTGAACCCGTACCTGCAGGGGGAAAAGAAGACAAGGGATGGGATCAAGGGATGGTTGGTTACTGCCGCACTCAGTGCTGCTGGTTGGTTACCACCTAGGTAGGTAGGTATCTTGGGAGGGGCTCCTCTGAAGCCGTACCTACAGGGACAAGGAGTAAAGAGATGGGTGCAGAGGAGAACAGGCATTGATAGCTGAGACCGATAGCATAGCCATGTTGCCAGGAATCTTGGGAGGGGCTCCTCTGAAGCCGTACCTGCAGGGAAAAGAATTCCAGGTTATAGGTAATGGTTTGCACATAAGAGTCACATCCTCAGTAGAGCAGCATATGGGTGGGTGAGAGAGCCAACGGTTGCATCAGTTGAGAAAAGCTGGTAGGTGAAATTCTCGACACCGCTCATATGGGTAGGTGAGAGGGACAGCGGTGGCAAAGAAAGGCTTTTGCCATACATTGTAAGTAGGGCACAGGGCATTTGAAAGGTTTCGGGCACGGGTGAATTCAGAAGAATGCATGTAATACAGTCCAGCACCATACGAAGCACCAACAAGCACAGTAGCATGGCACATACCCGAGGGCAGGAGGGATGGTGAGGCGCCTCTTGTCACCAATTCGCATGCCTGCACGGCCAAGAGGGGCGGAGGAAAGGGGAAGACATGCAGAGACGTGGGGTCCCCGGGAGAGAGATGGGAGAAGGGAAGTCGGTGCAGGAGAAGGTGAGAAACAGGAGGAGAGGTGCATGCATGCACAGACGCACAAACATGCACATGCACATGCACATGCACATGTGCACACCCGCGCGCACACTTACCCATCCACAACGCACAACCCACACTGACCTGCCCCCGTCCCCCGTCCGACTCTTAATACCAACACGCACCCCACTCCCCCCCTCTCCCCCTTTCTCCCCCCTTCTCCCCGCCCTCCATGCACACACATACCTTTGACGCCGACGTCCCAACCCTTGATCACTTCTCCCACGCCTGCCAATGGAGAGAAGATGGAGAGAAGATGGAGAAGAGAAGGAGAGGAGACGGAGAAGAGAAGGAGAGGAGACGGAGAAGAGAAGGAGAGGAGACGGAGAAGAGAAGGAGAGGAGACGGAGAAGAGAAGGAGAGGAGACGGAGAAGAGAAGGAGAGGAGATGGAAAAATAGAGTGAGGTTAAACGATCATTGCAACGAGGCGGTCGCATGGTCGTTCCCAGGAGGCGGTCGCATGGTCGTTCCCAGGAGGCGGTCGCATGGTCGTTCCCAGGAGGCGGTCGCATGGTCGTTCCCAGGAGGCGGTCGCATGGTCGTTCCCAGGAGGCGGTCGCATGGTCGTTCCCAGGAGGCTGTCGCATGGTCGTTCCCAGGAGGCGGTCGCATGGTCGTTCCCAGGAGGCGGTCGCATGGTCGTTCCCAGGAGGCGGTCGCATGGTCGTTCCCAGGAGGCGGTCGCATGGTCGTTCCCAGGAGGCGGTCGCATGGTCGTTCTCAGGAGGCGGTCGCATGGTCGTTCCCAGGAGGCGGTCGCATGGTCGTTCCCAGGAGGCGGTCGCATGGTCGTTCCCAGGAGGCGGTCGCATGGTCGTTCCCAGGAGGCGGTCGCAGGGTCGTTCCCAGGAGAACACTCGCTGAGACAAGTTCGGAGACGTCCAAAATAAGCAGCCGCATAGTGGCATGGCATGAGAGCACCCACCGAGGCGCATAGTGGCATGTCATGAGAGCACTCACCTAGGCGGAAGGCAAACGGTTGGGGATGAGTGAGGTTGGAGTCAAAGACCTTGCCGGTCTTCTTGAGGCGACCGATGTACCTCATCATTACCTGAGAGGCGGTGAGGGGGGGTTGGGGAGGAGGGGTAGTAAGGGAGAGAGGGAGTGGGGGATGAGGGATGGGTGAGGTTGGAGTTAAGGACCTTGCCGGTCTTTTTCAAATGGCCGATGTAGCGCATCATGACCTGCGGTGACAGGGTTGACCGGTGGGGGTGGTATAGGGTTTGCAGGGGTTGAATGAGGTTAAAACCAAAGGCCTTCCCTCTCTTCTTGAGCCGGCCAATGTACCGCACCGCATCATGACCTGAGGTGACAGGATAGTGCAAAGAATTTAAGAGTGGGCCTTGCGCAGATTGGTTTTTACAGGGATTGAAAAACCTCTCCTGCCTTCTTGAGCCGGCCTATGTACCGCATCAAGACCTGAGGGACAGATGTTTGGGGAGGGGGGGTTTGGAGGGTAGGGGTTTGGTTGTGGGGGAATGAGGAGGTGGGTGGGTAGGGATTGTGGAAGTCGGGGACTGAAGACGTGGAGGGACTCTCACCTTTCACCCATCCCACCTCCCACCCATCCCACCTCCCACCCATCCCACCTTCTTGCCCGGCTCAGCCACCTTCCCGTCCAGCTTCCCCATGCTCAACGCCTCCACCTCCAGAACTTTTGAGGCGCCTCAAAAGTCACCTTCCCGTCCAGCTTCCCGTTTTCCATCGGGCTCGCCCTTGCTCAACTCCTCCACCTCCATGCCTCCCTACAACCTGCTTGACCCGCCGAATCACTATCCAAACGCACTGACAGCATTTTTGAGACGTCTCAAAAAAAATTGAGTCGACTCAAACATCGCCTCATCACAGTCGACTCAAAAATCGCCTCATTTTAGAGACGTCTCAAAAAAATTTGAGTCGACTCAAACATCGCCTCATCACAGTCGACTCAAAAATCGCCTCATTTTTGAGACGTCTCAAAAAATTTTGAGTCGACTCAAACATCGCCTCATCACAGTCGACTCAAAAATCGCCTCATTTTTGAGACGTCTCAAAAAAAATTGAGTCGACTCAAACATCGCCTCATCACAGTCGACTCAAAAATCGCCTCATTTTTGAGACGTCTCAAAAATCACTATCCAAACACACAGACAGCACGCACACTCCCGTCTCACCTTCTTCCCTGGCTCAGCCAATTTTCCATCAGGCTTGCCCATGCTCAACTCCTCTACCTCCATGCCTCCCGGAAACACCCTCTTCCTCGTCTTCCCGTCTTTCCCCTCCCCTGCCCCAGGCGACTCTCCTCCTGCTGCTCCAGATGCTGCTTGTTTCGCCTTTGCCCACGCCTCCCCGTCCTGCTTCTTTTTCTTCGCCTCCTCCTCCTGCTTCTTCTTCTTCTTCTCCACGTCTGTTTGCTTCTTCTTTGCTCTCTCCTCCTCCTGCTTCTTCTTCTTCTCCTCCTCTGCCTTCTTTTTCTGCTCCGCCTGCTTTGCCTTGGCATCCCTGAAGTTAACAGGGAGAGGAAGGAAAAATAGTTTCTGAGAATCCTAGATAATGATCCACCTTCTTTCTCTGCTCTACCTGCTTTGCGCTGCCGTCTCAAGAAAAAAGCCACTAGTCTCACTTCTGCTCATTACTCTTTAGAATTTTCTCAAAAAGAGGTACATTGTTCTCACTTTTTCTCAGCCACACGGCTCTTCTTCCCTGGTGGTGCCGCTGCCGCTGCCTCCCCTCCTGCTGCGCCCGCCTCTCCTTTCCTCTTCTCCGCCCCTGCTGCCCCTGCCGCAGCTGCCCCCTTCCCCTGCTCCTTCCCCTTCCCCTGCTCCTGCCCCTTCTTCTCCTGTTGCCCCTGCTGCGTCTTATCCTGTGCATCGCCCTTCTTCCCCTTGGCTGTAGCAGCAGCAGCAGCCTTGGGTTCCTGAACCAGGGGTTCCGTGCTGCTGGGGAGACCCGCTACAGCCGCCTTCCCTGCTCCCTTCTCCTCCGTAATCTCCACTATGCGCACTGGAAAAATTGAAGGGGGGAAAAATTGGAAGGAAGTGGGGACAGGGTTAGGAAGAGAAGGGTTTGTTGTTGTGCCATTCCTGCTCCTCGCCCGTGATTACCACTATACGCACTGGGAGAAACGCGTTGGGGGGGGGGGGGGGGGAGGGAAGGGGTAGGGTGGGAGGGTTGGAGCCAGAGTAGAAAAGAAACCGACGATGGAGGGAGAGGGGGGAGAGGAGGGTTTGCTTGCCAGTCTCCCTGTACCATAGCATCCCTCCCTCCCTCCATCTACTCCGACGAGTTTTGAGGCGCTTCAAAGCCTCTGACGAGTTTGACGGTGCTACAGTGTAATCTGACAGCAGCACCACATACCTCCCGTTTGGCTGCTGTTCGCCAGCACCACCCCCTCCATCTCATCCTCCTCATCGTCCTCCTCCTCATCCTCCTCCTCATCCTCCTCATCATCATTCTCTTGTCCTCGTCGCTTTCCTCACCCTCTCCTTTGGAAAACATACCTCCCGTTTGGCTGCTGTTCGCCAGCACCACTCCCTCCATCTCATCCTCCTCATCGTCCTCCTCCTCGCTGTCACCAAATTCAACCTCGTCCCCCTCATCATCGCTGCTTCCTATAAGCGCCCTCTGCCACTCCCTGCCATTCAAAAAACATTTCGGTAAAAAGCCAGTCACAATTGCAGCAAAAAAATATAGAGTCAAGTACACACTATAGAATTATACCGTAACTAGAACCAAAATTAAGCAAAAAAAAATCGTTAATTCCATATAACTGAAACTCACCGCGGCAGGTCTGCCAGGTGTGCGTCTTCCTCATCAGTATCCACCTCCTCTCCCTCCTCCCCCTCCTCCTCGCTCTCCTCTCCCTCCTCCCCTTCCTCCTCCCCCCCCATCACCCCCTCAGCCATGTAATACCCCGACAAATGCACTGAGCAACTACCCCCCTCCTTCGCCCCCTCTCCTGCTGCCCCCTCTCCCTCCCCGGGCACCACCAGGCTGATTATGGCTCGTCCATCATCAGATCCAACGGACAGCATTCCATGGCGCCGCCCACGGTCAGCGAGCAGATCATGATCGGACGGCCAGCATCAGCCGCAGCACCAGGAGCAGCTGAACCAGCACCGGGACTATGGCTCTTGCCCTTGGGCTCACAGCAGCCGTTGACTGCACAGCCAGACTTGCTCCCAGGACTGCCTTTAACGCTAGCAGGACTGGCCTTTCCCCCCGGACTCGCCTTTCCCCCCGGGCTTCTCTTGCTCTTCGGGGTTCCCTCAACCTTCCCTGATTTTTCGGACGCTACATGGTCCCCCTGCTGCGCCTCCTCCTCCGCCTCGCCTTCCTCCCCTTCCTCCCCCTCCTCCTCGTGCGTTGCTAGCACCCTGACTTGCACGAGGACGCGTTTTTGTAGGGGACAATCAGCCCCGAGAACAGCCTGAGGGGTGTGGGGGGGGGAGACGGAAGAGGGGGGGGGGGGGGGGGGGGGGGGGGGGGGGGGGGGGGGGGGGGAAGGGGGTTGAGGGTTTAAGTAGGTTAAATGGGGGGTGGAAGTGCTTTGACTCGCACCAGCACACGCTTATTCAGGGGGCAGTCAGGCCCGAGAACAGCCTGAGGGGGAAGGGGAAAGGGGGAGTGGGAGGGGGTTTAACATGTTGAAAAAAGGACAGCCTGGGAGCAGGTGTATCAAAGAGGTGAGTAACTATAGGACCAGGAGCACTTTAATCAGTTATTTGAAAGTAAAACGAAAAACAGGATTCCTGCTGGGCGGCTGTTCCTGCTGGGCGGCTGTTCCTGCTGGGCGGCTGTTCCTGCTGGGCGGCTGTTCCTGCTGGGCGGCTGTTCCTGCTGGGCGGCTGTTCCTGCTGGGCGGCTGTTCCTGCTGGGCGGCTGTTCCTGCTGGGCGGCTGTTCCTGCTGGGCGGCTGTTCCTGCTGGGCGGCTGTTCCTGCTGGGCGGCTGTTCCTGCTGGGCGGCTGTTCCTGCTGGGCGGCTGTTCCTGCTGGGCGGCTGTTCCTGCTGGGCGGCTGTTCCTGCTGGGCGGCTGTTCCTGCTGGGCGGCTGTTCCTGCTGGGCGGCTGTTCCTGCTGGGCGGCTGTTCCTGCTGGGCGGCTGTTCCTGCTGGGCGGCTGTTCCTGCTGGGCGGCTGTTCCTGCTGGGCGGCTGTTCCTGCTGGGCGGCTGTTCCTGCTGGGCGGCTGTTCCTGCTGGGCGGCTGTTCCTGCTGGGCGGCTGTTCCTGCTGGGCGGCTGTTCCTGCTGGGCGGCTGTTCCTGCTGGGCGGCTGTTCCTGCTGGGCGGCTGTTCCTGCTGGGCGGCTGTTCCTGCTGGGCGGCTGTTCCTGCTGGGCGGCTGTTCCTGCTGGGCGGCTGTTCCTGCTGGGCGGCTGTTCCTGCTGGGCGGCTGTTCCTGCTGGGCGGCTGTTCCTGCTGGGCGGCTGTTCCTGCTGGGCGGCTGTTCCTGCTGGGCGGCTGTTCCTGCTGGGCGGCTGTTCCTGCTGGGCGGCTGTTCCTGCTGGGCGGCTGTTCCTGCTGGGCGGCTGTTCCTGCTGGGCGGCTGTTCCTGCTGGACGGCGACGGGTCCAGGGTTTTACACGCGGGAAGCCTTTCGAAGGGTACGGGGTTTAAGAGGCTCAGGGTTTAAGAGTTTCAACATTAAGACGAATGGTCATTATCCCTTCAACGGCCCGTCTGGTACAGGAACCGTCTGGTGCAGGTCCCACAGGGAGTAGGTTTTATCTAGGGAAAGTCTTGACTGTAATTATCCGTACATGAGAAAGGAACTATCATTAGGGGGAGGTTTCACATGGGGGAGGTTTTACCTGGGAGATGTGAAGCGGCCCTCCGGTACCATCTTCAGGGTCGCACACGATTGGCTCGCCCTGCTTCACCTCCACGCCTGACGCACGTGATTGTAACGAGGGAGAGAGGGGTGAGGAAAGAAGGAAAGACGGGATGGACGGACGGACGATCAACAAACGATGTTGGTGGTCTAATTCAACCACTCCAACAGGTGCAAGAGAATGCTTCGCAACCACAGCCGCCAGGTTTCTCTGCCTGTAGCCTTTCCCCATGGATCCCAACCGCGACCCCCGCCGCCAGGTTTCTCTGCCTGTGCTAAAGATGATACGCCGATCACTCCCCACGCGATTGGTTGGGCTGGTCCGTAGAGCGATTGGGTGGGCTGGTCCTTAGGGCATCGGCACGCGGGGACGCGGGGGCGGCAGAACGGGCGGAGAGGTGGCGACGGAGGAAACGGGCGGAAGAAGGCACGGAGGAAGTGTGCTTCAAGTCGACTCAAAACAAACGGAAGAGGAAGAGCGGACGCGGACACGGAACGAAACAGGGCGACCAGCGCGCATTGCGGACAAACGAGGTTGAGGCAGATCCGCAAGGGAATCGAGACGAGGCTGATCGGTCAGGGGGGCAACGACGACAAGCCCGATCGAACTCGCTGCTTTGAGGCGTAACGCCGAGTGGCGTGATCGGCGCTAATGAGATGCACGTACCCCAGAAGAGCATCGTGTGGTGCTGTGATCTGCGCGGCTGTGCTGTACGGTGCTGCGCGGTGGTGTGTGCTGCTCCGATCTGCTTGACAACCTCCGAGAGAAAGCAGCGAGACGAACTCGGGGAAGAGAGTCTAGAATGACGCTACCGTGCGGGCAGATAGTAGTCTAAAATGCAGTGGAGTGAAGCAAGAGCACAACAGCTATGCTTCGAGAGGTTTCGGGCTTAGCTGTGCCTGGCGTTTTGACGAACGACTGGCGAAGAGCGTGCGATCGGCGGCCGAAGTGTGCGGGCTTCGCGAATCTTCTACGAGGAGTCAGCCCATGGTGAGTGATCCTGGAAATTTCTCGTTATAGGCAGGGATATTCCATTCGTTCCCTCTGTTGCTGTTAGTGCATGACTATCAGAAACAGCAACATCATATGTATTATGACCGCTACCCCAGGTGACTCATACCGAGCTGTATGGCTAGATGAGTTTATATGATAGATTAAAATAACCCCCAATGAGAACTAAATATTTCAACATGTTAACGAGAACTAAATCTTTCAACACCGTTTCTTGCACATGATTTTCTCGTTTCTGAAAGCTGCTTGCATCGAGGATTCACGGCTGCAGCAGATTTGTCACGTTTTTGCAGCAGAAGAAACTCCCCTCGAAATTCCATTTTCACAATTCTGACTCGCGAGATTCCCGCCTCCACTCGGCCTAACGGCTCGTTCCTTGCTCCCTGTTCTCTAGTTTTCTGGCCATGGCGTCTCCGCCAATCCTGGACTGGCAGTTAGACGAGGACAGGTTCGTGTCTCTTCTGGAAAAGTTGATCAACGAGGCGCGATACCTTCAGGTGAGGATAGGTTCACGTCTCGTTTGTCGTTCTGCTGGCAGCTGGCAACAGGAGTAGCTCCAGTGGTGTAGCGATCCTGTTTTATCACTTTTGCAACATACATATCGTGTCGTATTTTTCTTTCGTTCTTTCTTTCTTTTCGGACTGCCGAGTTGATCAAGTCTCGCTTCAGAAACATCGTTCTGAGTGGCTTATATTCACTTTTAACATCGTTCTGTCTTGACCATTCTGGAAGGCGCCATCCTTGTTCTGTCTTGTTCTGTTGAAGGACCGACAGCTGTTATCGGTCAACCTGGTCCCTCCTTACCTTGAATCTGATCCTTCTTTTCACGCTTTTCTTCCGTTGTGTGACTGTATCGAATGTCCTGCTGGCTGGCAGAACAACCCCCCCGAGTGCGTGCCCAAGGAGGACCGCGCAGTGCGACACGTTCTCGACGTGCTACAGCCGTACAGGTACCTGGTACTTGGTTTGAAAGCTCCATAATATTAACCAAGCTCTATAGCTCTACAGCCCTTACTCAATCTATGAGAGCCGTGCAGAGCAGAGGGCAGTGAGACATGTTCTTGTCATGCTGCAGCCATTAAGGTATCTGTTTCTTGAGAGATTAAAAAAAAGTGGTCCCCCTATATCCAAGAACCTTGTTGCAGTGTGCAGGTTAGACGTGTGTAGGACGTGCTGCAACAATAGAGTTACCAATTTACGTTAGGTAAATAGTGAGAGTTCTGTAATTTACGTTAGGTAAATAGTGAGAGTTCTGTAATTTACGTTAGGTAAATAGTGAGAGTTCTGTAATTTACGTTAGGTCTACAAGAACTTTGCAGTGCGCAGTGCGACGTGTGTGGGACGTGCTGCACTGCAGACGTCCCATACAGGTACCTTTCTCTGGAGAGCATTAGTACCTCCCTCCCTTATTCATAATAAGGGCTCGCACCCCTCCAACGTCCTCTCCTTCCCTCGCTCAAAGCAACAGCTTCCCCACTCACTAACCTTCAATTCCTTCTTTTGAGACGTCTCAAAACCAGCTTCCCCACTCACTAGCCTTCAATTCCTTCTTTTGAGACGTCTCAAAACCAGCTTCCCCACTCACTAACCTTCAATTCCTTCTTCCCCCCTTTCTCCTGCACCAGGACTTCGGCCCCTTCACCTTCTCTCGGGACGGAGACAAGTTGAGGGGCCGCGGCACCACAGACTGCCTGGGACACGTGGCGCTCGTCACGGAGCTCATGCGCCAGCTGGCAGTCTGCCGCCCGGAGCTGGGCGCTACAGTGGTGGCGGTGCTGATAGCCAATGAGGAGAACGCCACGGTGAAGGATATTGGTGTGGACGGGCTGGTGAAGGCGGGCTTGCTGGACCACCTCAGGAATGGTCCTCTGTAAGTTGCTGTTCCCCGCCTCGCGTCTGAGTCACCTCCCACGGCTCTTCACGGTGGTGGCGGTGCTGATAGCCAATGAGGAGAATGCAACGGTGAAGGACATCGCAGTGGACGGGCTGGTCAAAGCAGGGCTGCCTGCTGGATCACCTCAGGAACGGACCACTGTGAGTTCCCGTCCCCCCCTTCTCCCTCTTGTTCCCCGCCTCTCTCACCTCCCACCGCTCCTCACAGTGGTGGTGGTGCTGATAGCCAATGAGGAGAACGCGACGGTGAAGGACATCGCAGTGGATGGGCTGGTGAAGGCAGGGCTGCTGGATCACCTCAGAAACGGTCCACTGTAAGTTCCCTGCCTGTCGTCTGAGTCATCTCCCACTGCTCTTCATGGTGGTGGCGGTGCTGATAGCCAATGAGGAGAACGCGACGGTGAAGGACATTGGGGTGGATGGGCTGGTGAAGGCAGGGCTGCTGGATCACCTCAGAAACGGTCCACTGTAAGTTCCCTGCCTGTCGTCTGAGTCATCTCCCACTGCTCTTCACGGTGGTGGCGGTGCTGATAGCCAATGAGGAGAATGTGACTGTGAAGGACTTTGGGGTGGATGGGCTGGTGAAGGCAGGGCTGCTGGATCACCTCAGAAACGGTCCACTGTAAGTTCCCTGCCTGTCGTCTGAGTCATCTCCCACTGCTCTTCACGGTGGTGGCGGTGCTGATAGCCAATGAGGAGAACGCGACGGTGAAGGACATCGCAGTGGATGGGCTGGTGAAGGCAGGGCTGCTGGATCACCTCAGAAACGGTCCACTGTAAGTTCCCTGCCTGTCGTCTGAGTCATCTCCCACTGCTCTTCACGGTGGTGGCGGTGCTGATAGCCAATGAGGAGAATGTGACTGTGAAGGACATTGGGGTGGATGGGCTGGTGAAGGCAGGGCTGCTGGATCACCTCAGAAACGGTCCACTGTAAGTTCCCTGCCTGTCGTCTGAGTCATCTCCCACTGCTCTTCACGGTGGTGGCGGTGCTGATAGCCATGAGGAGAATGTGACTGTGAAGGACATTGGGGTGGATGGGCTGGTGAAGGCAGGGCTGCTGGATCACCTCAGAAACGGACCACTGTAAGTTCCCCTCTCCCCCTCCTCCCTCCTGCTCCCTGCCTCTCGCCTCCCACCACTCGTCACGGTCCTGCTGACAGCCAATGAGGAGAACGCCACTGGGAAAGACATTGGGGTGGATGGGCTGGTGAAGGCAGGCCTGCTGGACCACCTCAGAAACGGTCCCCTGTGAGTTGCTGTTCCCTGCCTCTCTTTTGAGTCGTCTCCCACGGCTCTTCACGGTGGTGGTGGTGCTGATAGCCAATGAGGAGAATGCAACGGTGGAGTGAAGAATGCAATGAGGCATGGATGGGCTCGTGAAGTGAAGGCGGCCCCCTGTGAGTTCGCTGTCTCTCCACCGCCCCTCCTCACTGTCCTTTCTCTGCCTCTGTGTCCCCTCCATGCCACGTGGCAGCTTCTGGGTGGACACAGCGGACAAGCAGCCATGCATTGGCACGGGGGGCATGCTGGCATGGAAGCTCAAGGCGTTCGGCAAGCTCTTTCACTCAGGCCTGCCGCACAAGGTAATGTCCTGTATCACATGTATTTTACCCACAAGGCGCTCTCTTAAGTGGCACAAGCAACCGTGCATAGGAATGGGGGGCATGCTGGCATGGAAGCTCAAGGTAATCCCGAATTGAGACGTCTCAAAGCTCAAGGTAATCCCGAATTGAGACGTCTCAAAGCTCAAGGTAATCCCGAATTGAGACGTCTCAAAGCTCAAGGTAATCCCGAATTGAGACGTCTCAAAGCTCAAGGTAAACCCGAATTGAGACGTCTCAAAGCTCAAGGTAAACCCGAATTGAGACGTCTCAAAGCTCAAGGTAAACCCGTATTTCTTAACCTCAAAAAGAGAAGCTCCAAAAGTGGCACAGACGAAGCTCCAGGCGTTCGGGAAGCTCTTCCACTCGGGCCTGCCGCACAAGATGAAGTGCCCTGTCTCGCCGTTCGTATGGACTCGCATGTGTTTGCCAACACTCGTAAGTGGTACAAGCGAAGCTCCAGGCGTTCGGGAAGCTCTTCCACTCGGGCCTGCCGCACAAGATGAAGTGCCCTGTCTCGCCGTTCGTATGGACTCGCATGTGTTTGCCAACACTCGTAAGTGGTACAAGCGAAGCTCCAGGCGTTCGGGAAGCTCTTCCACTCGGGCCTGCCGCACAAGATGAAGTGCCCTGTCTCGCCGTTCGTATGGACTCGCATGTGTTTGCCAACACTCGTAAGTGGTACAAGCGAAGCTCCAGGCGTTCGGGAAGCTCTTCCACTCGGGCCTGCCGCACAAGATGAAGTGCCCTGTCTCGCCGTTCGTATGGACTCGCATGTGTTTGCCAACACTCGTAAGTGGTACAAGCGAAGCTCCAGGCGTTCGGGAAGCTCTTCCACTCGGGCCTGCCGCACAAGATGAAGTGCCCTGTCTCGCCGTTCGTATGGACTCGCATGTGTTTGCCAACACTCGTAAGTGGTACAAGCGAAGCTCCAGGCGTTCGGGAAGCTCTTCCACTCGGGCCTGCCGCACAAGATGAAGTGCCCTGTCTCGCCGTTCGTATGGACTCGCATGTGTTTGCCAACACTCGTAAGTGGTACAAGCGAAGCTCCAGGCGTTCGGGAAGCTCTTCCACTCGGGCCTGCCGCACAAGATGAAGTGCCCTGTCTCGCCGTTCGTATGGACTCGCATGTGTTTGCCAACACTCGTAAGTGGTACAAGCGAAGCTCCAGGCGTTCGGGAAGCTCTTCCACTCGGGCCTGCCGCACAAGATGAAGTGCCCTGTCTCGCCGTTCGTATGGACTCGCATGTGTTTGCCAACACTCGTAAGTGGTACAAGCGAAGCTCCAGGCGTTCGGGAAGCTCTTCCACTCGGGCCTGCCGCACAAGATGAAGTGCCCTGTCTCGCCGTTCGTATGGACTCGCATGTGTTTGCCAACACTCGTAAGTGGTACAAGCGAAGCTCCAGGCGTTCGGGAAGCTCTTCCACTCGGGCCTGCCGCACAAGGTGCGCTCTTGTTTCACATGTGGTCTACGCACAAGGTGAAGTGAAGTGAAGGATCGCATGACAGGCATAGAGCACCTTTTCTCAATGCATGGCGCTCAAGTATCAGGCATCGAGCTCACCATGACAGCATTGGCTGAGACGAGATGCATTCCCGCTTCTACCGCCTTCTGCTATGGCCCGTGACATCACCCAGCCCTCTAGACTCCAACTCCACCCCTCTGAACTCCTGTCCGCCCCCTCACACTCCTCTCCAGGCAGTGAACCCCATCGAGCTCGCCCTTGATAACACTGGCAGAGATGCAGACCTGCTTCTACCGCGTTCTGCTGTCTCATCACCACTCCTGTTCATTCCAACTCCACCCCTCTCCACTCCTTGCTCTTTCCCTTGTAAACCTCTGCAGGCCATCAATCCCATTGAGCTCGCCATGACAGCACTGGCGGAGATGCAGACCCGTTTTTACCGGGACTTCCCCCCCCATGCCATGGAGAAGACGTATGGGTTCGCCACACCTTCCACCATGAAGCCCACTCAGTGGTCGTGTGAGTGATGCGTGTGAGTGGTGTGTGAGTGAGGTGATGTGTGAATATGGTCCTATGTGTGTGCCTGTGTGTGTGCACGTGCACCATGCCATGGAGAAGACGTATGGGTTTGCCACACCATCCACCATGAAACCCACTCCGTGGTCATGTGAGTGGTGTGTGAGTGGTGTGATACGTGAACATAATCCTATGTGTGTGTCTGTCTGTGTGTCTCTGTGTGTGAGTGGTGTTTTGAGTGTGTGGGTGGGGTGATGCGTGAGTGGGGGTGCTGGATGGATACTTTGTGAGAACCACTTGGCAACCACAGGGACTGGGTATTCTAGTTTTGGGACGTCTCAAAACAGGGACTGGGTATTCTAGTTTTGAGACGTCTCAAAACAGGGACTGGGTATTCTAGTTTTGAGACGTCTCAAAACAGGGACTGGGTATTCTAGTTTTGAGACGTCTCAAAACAGGGACTGGGTATTCTAGTTTTGAGACGTCTCAAAACAGGGACTGCGTATTCTAGTTTTGAGACGTCTCAAAACAGGGACTGGGTATTCTAGTTTTGAGACGTCTCAAAACAGGGACTGGGTATTCTAGTTTTGAGACGTCTCAAAACAGGGACTGGGTATTCTAGTTTTGAGACGTCTCAAAACAGGGACTGGGTATTCTAGTTTTGAGACGTCTCAAAACAGGGACTGGGTATTCTAGTTTTGAGACGTCTCAAAACAGGGACTGGGTATTCTAGTTTTGAGACGTCTCAAAACAGGGACTGGGTATTCTAGTTTTGAGACGTCTCAAAACAGGGACTGGGTATTCTAGTTTTGAGATGTCTCAAAACAGGGACTGGGTATTCTAGTTTTGAGACGTCTCAAAACAGGGACTGGGTATTCTAGTTTCGAGACGTCTCAAAACAGGGACTGGGTATTCTAGTTTTGAGACGTCTCAAAACAGGGACTGGGTATTCTAGTTTTGAGACGTCTCAAAACAGGGACTGGGTATTCTAGTTTTGAGACGTCTCAAAACAGGGACTGGGTATTCTAGTTTTGAGACGTCTCAAAACAGGGACTGGGTATTCTAGTTTTGAGACGTCTCAAAACAGGGACTGGGTATTCTAGTTTTGAGACGTCTCAAAACAGGGACTGGGTATTCTAGTTTTGAGACGTCTCAAAACAGGGACTGCGTATTCTAGTTTTGAGACGTCTCAAAACAGGGACTGGGTATTCTAGTTTTGAGACGTCTCAAAACAGGGACTGGGTATTCTAGTTTTGAGACGTCTCAAAACAGGGACTGGGTATTCTAGTTTTGAGACGTCTCAAAACAGGGACTGGGTATTCTAGTTTTGAGATGTCTCAAAACAGGGACTGGGTATTCTAGTTTTGAGACGTCTCAAAACAGGGACTGGGTATTCTAGTTTCGAGACGTCTCAAAACAGGGACTGGGTATTCTAGTTTTGAGACGTCTCAAAACAGGGACTGGGTATTCTAGTTTTGAGACGTCTCAAATCAGGGACTGGGTATTCTAGTTTTGAGACGTCTCAAAACAGGGACTGGGTATTCTAGTTTTGAGACGTCTCAAAACAGGGACTGGGTATTCTAGTTTTGAGACGTCTCAAAACAGGGACTGGGTATTCTAGTTTTGAGACGTCTCAAAACAGGGACTGGGTATTCTAGTTTTGAGACGTCTCAAAACAGGGACTGCGTATTCTAGTTTTGAGACGTCTCAAAACAGGGACTGGGTATTCTAGTTTTGAGACGTCTCAAAACAGGGACTGGGTATTCTAGTTTTGAGACGTCTCAAAACAGGGACTGGGTATTCTAGTTTTGAGACGTCTCAAAACAGGGACTGGGTATTCTAGTTTTGAGACGTCTCAAAACAGGGACTGGGTATTCTAGTTTTGAGACGTCTCAAAACATTGACTGGGTATTCTAGTTTTGAGACGTCTCAAAACAGGGACTGGGTATTCTAGTTTTGAGACGTCTCAAAACAGGGACTGGATATTCTAGTTTTGAGACGTCTCAAAACAGGGACTGGGTATTCTAGTTTTGAGACGTCTCAAAACAGGGACTGCGTATTCTAGTTTTGAGACGTCTCAAAACAGGGACTGGGTATTCTAGTTTTGAGACGTCTCAAAACAGGGACTGGGTATTCTAGTTTTGAGACGTCTCAAAACAGGGACTGGGTATTCTAGTTTTGAGACGTCTCAAAACAGGGACTGGTTATTCTAGTTTTGAGACGTCTCAAAACAGGGACTGGGTATTCTAGTTTTGAGACGTCTCAAAACAGGGACTGGGTATTCTAGTTTTGAGACGTCTCAAAACAGGGACTGGGTATTCTAGTTTTGAGACGTCTCAAAACAGGGACTGCGTATTCTAGTTTTGAGACGTCTCAAAACAGGGACTGGGTATTCTAGTTTTGAGACGTCTCAAAACAGGGACTGGGTATTCTAGTTTTGAGACGTCTCAAAACAGGGACTGGGTATTCTAGTTTTGAGACGTCTCAAAACAGGGACTGGGTATTCTAGTTTTGAGACGTCTCAAAACAGGGACTGGGTATTCTAGTTTTGAGACGTCTCAAAACAGGGACTGGGTATTCTAGTTTTGAGACGTCTCAAAACAGGGACTGGGTATTTTGCATCATTTCCTACTCCTTCCTAGCCCCTCGTTTTTGGCTGCAACTGGCTTCTCCCCCTGCTACCCTTGTACCATTTGCCTCCTGGCCGTACCTAAACCCAGAACTTCTATTCCTTGTTCTTAAACCCTTGTTTTTCCGTTTCTGTGGCTGCATCAGATCCGGGCGGCAGCGTGAATCAAATCCCAGGGGAGTGCACGGTAGCAGGGGATTGCCGGTAGGGCCTTTGTTAGGCTCCTCAAGGACTATCCGATGCCTCAATCCTCCCCTCTTTTAACCATGACTCTCCTCTCACCTTCCTCCGTGACAATTACCTTCTGTTCCTGCCTCGTCTCTCTCACCTGTTTTCGCTCAGTTCATTTCCCATCCTTCACTGTGCTGCAATCTCTATAACCCGCTACTTTGTCTCATCTTCATGTTCCTTGTGCCCTCCCTTCATGGATTTGATCACGCATTGCTTAAACGAAATCCGAGCAGATTCTCAGAACTCATCTTCCTGCCCCCAATTCTCTCCTTGCACTTCCCTTCCTTCCATGGGCCTTCGTGTGGTCGACGCGTGCGCCTACGTTGCACCTGCCAATCCCCTGTTCCCTCGCACCAAACGACATCAGGATAACGCCATTCTATGAGTAAGTGATCCATGTGTCATGTCTGTTTTGAGCCACTTCAGAAAGTACCATTCTAGTGAGTGATCTTCAAACCAGGGTCTCATGTAAGAGAAATTGTGATCAACTGCAAAACAATTGAAGCTTCGTCACCCTGTTTGAGGTGGCGAAGTCTCGAGAAGCTTCGAGAAATTGTGATCAACTGCAAACCAGGTTGGTTTGGCAATTGACTGTGCGACACCTCCCGTTTTCGCCTCCGAAGCAGTTGCAAAACATTTTTATGGGTACATGAGACTGACGGGATGCTCGAACATTTTGCTGGTGTTCTAGCTTTGGCACCGAATCAATTTCCGTGCCTAGATGGTTTGGACACAAACTGCGATCTGTGTTTCCTTCGCTCCCCTCGTCACACCGCTCGTCATTCTTTACACCTCGCCAACCAATCCCAACCAAGGTGAAGTGATCAACTGCAAAACAAATGATCTACGTGAGACCCTGGTTTTAAATTGGCATGTTGCAAGCATAAACGCACTTCACTCCTCTCCTGCCAGTATTGCTTACGTGGCAGCGAAGCTAAAGCATACATGGCAGGCATTAATCCCATGCATCTAGGAGGTTATGGTTGTCGAGCCACCAACTCAGACCACACTTCACCCCTCTCCATGCCCTCCCACCTCCCACCACCGCAGTGTGGATGAGGTAGCAGCGAAGCTAAGGGAGTATGTGGCAGACATTAACGCCAACCTGCACCCCACCCTCTCAGACCCTGTGCCACCAACTCAGACCACACTTCACCTCTCCCCATCCCCTCCCACCCCCCACCACTGCAATGTGGACGAGGTCGCAGCGAAGCTGAGGGAGTATGTTGCAGATATCAACGCCAACCTGAACACGCTCTCAGGCCCCGGGCCGTGCTCGAAATTCGTTCTGCCCGAAGAAAATCTGCAGGGCAGGTGAGAACGGGTTGTGAATTTGTTCAATGGGGGAAAAACAATTAGAAAATAACAGAGGGAGGAAGGGAAGAAGGTGAATGTCTGGGGCACATGGTGAGTGTAACGGAATGTGGAAGGGGCAGGAAATGTGGAGGAAGGAAGTCAGTTGGTGGAGGGAACGTACGAGCGGGGAGTATGAGTGAGTGAGTAATTAGAATAGAGCTTCGATATACGTGTGCCACTCTTTTTGCCCTCTTTCTTCGCACTCATTTCCTTTCCCTCCCTCTTCCATGAGCCAACCCCTTCCCTTAATCTCCCCTTTAGGCTTGAGCTGGAGATAGCAGAGGCGCCAATGAAGGGCGTGGCGTGTAACCTGGACTCGCCTGGTTACCACGCGCTGGTAACCGCCACGAAGGAGGTGATGGGCGAGTGCAAGCCGTACTCCATCACGGGATCCCTGCCGTTGATTCGCGATCTGCAGGAGGCATGATTCGATGTGCAGACCATGGGATATGGTGAGATCCGATTTTATTTTATTTTCGCCGCTCGGTAGTACCTCATTTGCTTGTTTTGGAGCATCTGATACGGTGAGAGATTGCATTGTGGTGAGAATAGAGGTTGGGTTTTATTGAGACCTCATCCGTGTGATATGCTGAGAGTGTGAAACGGGATTCAATTACATTATAATATTTAGTGAGAGTGTGGGATGTGGCGATGCTTTTATGCCCCAACTTACCATTGCTTCATGGGATCTTGTTCTCACATCCCTTCCCTTTTTCTTTTATCTAGGAGCCACGAAGTTCACCTTTTCCTGCACCCACCCATACGCTTTCTGGTATACTCTATTTCCTATGGCAGGTGTCATGGCCACTTATCATGCACGAAACGAGTATGCGCTACTATCCGACTTCAAGCTCGGCTATCGCGTCCTTACCAACCTCATACATAACCTCTCGTAATTCAGTTTGAAGGATAAAACGGCTTGTACAGGTGGGATTTATTTCCCTGTTTACTATATTTGTGTGGAGGGTTGTTAAGGTTGAATAACAGCACTTATGCTAAGAAAAAAATATTACAGCTACAAGAGTGTACAGGCTTGAAATAAGCCAGATCAAAATGAGTTTTGTGAAATTACTGTTACACTTTAGGGCACCCAAAAGCAGCACTCTACAACAATGCGATACGCTCATGGCTACAGTGTGCCGCCTGGTCCCAACAACCATGGACTGTCTCGCAACCACAAATTTGTCGCGAGGAGAAGCACGAGCGGCCCCAACTAGACACGTTACCGCGTTTTGGCGAGAGATTGCGAAACGCGTGAGCTTTCGCAAACACGGAGAATATCGAGGAAGATCAATTCCAAGGACAGACAAAATTCCCAAAGCAGAGAAACCGTCCCTAGGGTCAAGGACAATATCTAGGTCAAAGGCACTGGCTGTGAATTATATTCTTCCTTGGTTTGTCAGGGCTTCGACGTTTTGAGATAAAGCGATAGGAACAGCCGACAAAGAATGGAGCTCCAGGCGAATAGATCAGACGGCGATAAATGCAGGCTAAGAATACACATGGCGATGTTTACGAAAGGTTAAGTTACCTCGAGAGTCAAAGGGTCGCAAGGTAGCCATGGCTGAGCCCGAGGAGTATTTAATTTATTACGCCGCTATAGTTTACCGCGGTACAATTCTTTACGCGCACAGCAGCTTTCCCGGGGACTGCACCTCCATTATCGCGGAAGCTATGCGACAATTGCCTGATAACGTATCCAGCTATTCCCGGGTAGGCCTCTCTTAAACAAACCTTTCTCATATAGGATATCTACAGACATTGCATTTTCTCAGCAAGAGTATGGATTCACGTTTCTTAGTTATTTTACTATCTTTTACCGTACCGTCAACTTCGACGTGCACTTTTCCGCCTTTACCCTAAATCAGCCTCGGGTTTCCAGTCGCTTATTCAACGCTGTCTGTCAGCCGACATTCGAACACCCTTACGACAAGCCAAGTCATAGCTCCTGCAAGAACGTGGCCAACTCTTACACACAACCTACTAGCCTAGCCTTATAACCTTTCACTCTAACAACAATGAAGTCCTAACGGTTCTCTTGTACCAGCCAAGCTGTACACTTAAGGGTGCTCGTGGAAGCGGAGGGTGCTCTTCGGACATTCCGTCTCCAATACCTTCGCTTTTGTCCAGCTTCCTCGTCTGTTGCGTATCGAGTCTCTGTTTTGTCCATGTTCGCATCCCTTGCTTGAGTCACAACTGTTTATACTCTCTTTCGAGTCAACTCAAAGCCATCCCTCTCAATCCGTGCTGTGCTGTGCTGTGCAGAGCTACGATGGAACGATGCTCGCATTCCTTGTGCGAGGCAAAGTCGTGTACACACTCGGCGGCCACGAAGCACTGGACAAAATCCGCGCTTACAAGTTCCTCGAGCAGGTACGCGTTGCAATGTGGCCACACACAGCCCTAGCTTTATAAGTATTTGGAGCAGGTACGCATTCCACTGCTGATGCTACTCTTCTCCTGTGCAGCTCTGCTCCAGTACAGCAAGCACAGCCTTTTCTCTCTTTTCATCCCCTTCTACTCCCCTGCTTCTCATCGTCATGCATCCCAGCTCCATCCATCCATGCATCCATGTGCGGCAGGAACCAAGGACAGAAATTTCCACTGTAAATTTGAATGTTGTCAACATTTCCTCCTTTCTACCCCCTTGCCTCTCAACTTCATTGTTCCCAGCTCTATTCCATCACGTGCTCATGGCAACCAAGGACGGAGTTCTCCGCATCAATATTGATTTTGTTTCAACATTTCCTCCTTTCCACTCCCATCGTCATTCATCCCAGCTCCATGCCATCCACGTGCTCGCGGCAACCAAGGACGGAATTCTCCGCACTGACCTGCTCACCTCTCAGTACAATCACGCCCTTCATAAGCTCAGCTCGCATATAGGCACGCTCATAGCTAGTGTGCGCGGAACAATACCCCCACGTGAGCCCCTGATTGTCTACCCGGACGCGCCTAAGGCCTACCTGACCTGCCGTTCCAGAGACGAGCTTCTGGCCAAGTCTCCCTTGCACCCACGAGCCACTGCTACAGCCTCCTCTGCTACAGCCGCTGCCACAGCGACCGCTTCCGTTTCTGCCGCTGTTGCTGCCGCTACAGCCAAGGCCGCTCCCTCTGCCACCTCTGCTATGAAGCCTCAATCGAGCCTGTTTTCAGCAATTGATTTTATAGATTCACCGGAAAGCAGGAGGGTGAGTGAAGGGAGGTCCAGGCTACAGCGAAGGATGGGGGGTGTAAATAGGGACGACAGGGATGGATGGCTGGGGGAAGAAGAGGGGGGCATGGGGCTGGGCGTGGAGATTGGTATGGGTTTAAGCCTAGAGAGTGAAGATAGCACAGTGAAGATGGAGGTAGCTGATAGCAGCAGTGGTTGCGATGAAGATGATGAGGAGGAGGATTTTGTGTGGAATCCACAGCAACAGCTTCAAAAGCAGCAGCAGCAGCAGCAGCAGCAGCAGCAGCAACGTCGGCCGTACTTGGACCGATTGTCACCGCGGGAACAGCAGCAGGAGCAGCAGGAGCAGCAGGAGCAGGAGCAGCAGGAGTGGCAGGAGCAGCAGGAGCAGGAACGGCAGGAGCAGGAGAAGAACCCTCTCAGCGACGCTGGGGACTCACCCATGATCAGCCCACGACCCGAATGGGCGCGTCAGCTGGCCTTGCTGCGAAACTACACCAGCGAAGCCACAGATACGGACAGCACAGCACAGAACCATGGGAAGGGGACGGTCACACGCCCAGGAAGCAAAGCGAAGCATCCTCTCAAGGATGTGGAAAAAGGGGAGGTGCGGAAAAGGGGGACGGGGAGGCAAGGACAGGCACAGAAGGGTGCTGGGAAGGGGTTGAATGGAGGGACAAGGGACCGAAGCCGCAATGGGACTGTTGCGGGTTCAAGTTCGAATTTCAGGCGGGCAGGAGGAAAAGGGAGGTCTGTTAGTAGTGGGGGGTCTGGAGGGGCGGGGTCCGGTTCTGATGAGGATTTGTCAGGCAACGGACTGCCGGGTAGGGTTGGTTCGTTCCCGAATCTGTCTCCTTCACGTGTGGTTAAAGCAGCCAGAGCAGCTGCAGCAGCCAGAGAAGCAGGGGCGTCAGGGGCAGTAGGGGTAGCAGGGGCAGCAGGAGGAAAAGACAAGGCTCCTGTCGTTGCTTATGGACGCTGTAGGTCGTTGTCGTTTGGAGGGAGCAGCAACACGCGCCTGCAGGCTGGTGATTGTAGTGGTGACGAGGATGATTATACAGAGGATAGTTTTGACGACGAGGACCAGGTGGACAAAAGACGTGGTGATTATAACAAGGTTTACCATAGCAGAGGTTCTACTGGTTGTGGTGGTGGTGGTGATGGTTATTCTGGTCTTGGTGGAAAAGGGAATGAGGAGAAGAAGAAGGTGTTTGGATCAGGAAGGAGAGGAATCAGAGAGGGTAGCGACCCTGGGAGGAGACAGGATTTAAACTCTGTTCTTTCTGAAAGGCGTGTAGTAGGAGCTTCCTTGTCCCTGCCTCACGATGAAACCCAATTCTCGCACTCACGAGCTGCTGACGTACAGCACACGGCGCGTGTGACAGCATCCGTGTCCCTACCTTGCATCGACACCCATTTCTCACACTCAGATGCTGACTCAACTCCAGAAGAAGCAGCAGCAAAGGTAGAAACAGAAACATTAGCAGAGGAAGGGTCTGAGGCAGCGGCAGAGATAGAAATGGCAGGGGTGGAGACAGATTCTGGTTCCGATTCTTTCTCAGGTGCAGCGTGGAAAGCACAGAAGCTGGGGCACCAGGGGGGGCGCGTTAGGCGGGCCACCACTGGGTCAGGACAGCAGAATTTGCCCTTGGGCCGCGTTATGCACACCACAACCGGCACTAAGGTTGCTACTAGGAGCCTTACGGATTCTAGGAACGGTGCTGGGACTGGAGTTAGGAATGGGACTGGTACTAGGGGTGGGGCTGTTACTAGGAGTGGTAGTGCTGGGAACGGCACCAAAATTGGTGGTAGAAGTGGCAGGGAAATTGATGATTGGAGTGGCATGACTGGGGCTCGTGCTGGGGCTAGTAGCAGCAGTGCGTTGACTCGAGGGCACATAGGGAAGTCGTTTTCTCAAGACTACACAATGCAGGTGTTTCCGAGGGAGGAGCTGCCAGGTGGGCAGGGGCAGAGGGCGTCTGATGGTGCAAAGGGTGGGAGTGGAGATGTGTCGCACTCGCTCCTTGGTGGGGAAAGAAGTTCCGGTGATTCGCCTTCCAGCCAAGCATGGAACTCAGAGGTTGCGAGCAGATTAGCAGCTGTGAGCGCTCGTGTGCTGGCAGGGAGTGGGGGAGGAGTAGGGGGAGGAGGATTACAGGGAGGGGCAGCAGGGGGGGGAAGAGTAGGGGGAGGAGGGGCAAGGGGGGGAGGAGCAGCAGAAAGAGCAGGCTTAGTAGGGGCAGGGTTAGTAGGGGCAGAATCAGGATTCTCAAGGGGCGGTTCAGGGGATGATCTGTTTGACGACATCTCGGAAGGCGACGAGGATGATTCTGACGCGTTTGAGTGGCGCCCATCTCGTCGCCGCGCTCACATGCTGCGCAGCGTGGCCCGGTCCACGTCAGCAGTCACCTCTCCCACGTCAGCAATGGGCTGGACAGGCTGGCGCGATCTGAGTCAGCAGCAGCAGCAACAGCAGAAGCAGCAGCGGCAGCAGCAGCAGCAGACAGTGCAGGGTCAGACACATAGACCCCGCCAGAAGAACTCCCAGGAGGAGAAGTTTAGAGAGAGGCCGCACTCAGCAGGGGCAGGCAGAGAGAGCTATGGGGCGAGAGGATTGGCAGAACCGTCCTGGTCAACAAGCGCTGCAGGAACAGGAGGAGCAGCAGAAAGAGCAAGAACAGCAGGAGCAGCAGAAAGAGCAAGAACAGCAGGATCAGCGAGCACAAGGCCTGGTTCAGCTTCGTCTGTTGACAGGGAGAAGGGGAAGGGTGGCAGGAGGAGAGACGATAAAAGCGGGGCTGCTTCTGCTGCTACAGTGGCTGGTAGAACCGCTGTTCCTGTGTCGGTGTCGCTGGGTGTGACGGGCTCGTCTTTCTCTCTCGGGAATGGTTTGTCTTCGCCTTTGGGTGGCGGCAGCACCTTGGGTGGGATGTTTCCCCGTCACAGCAGTGTGGGTTCTGCTGGCAGGCGTGATAGTGGTGACGGTGGCAGCAGGCACGGTGGCAGCGGTGACGGTGGCAGGCATGGTGGTGGCGATGGTGGAAGCAGAGAGGCAAGAGGAGACAGGCGTAGGGGCAGCGGAACAGGAGCAGGAGCAGGGGCAGGAGGAGGAGCAGGAGGAGCAAGGGCTGGAGGAGGAGGGGGAGGTGGCGAGGAATGGGAAGATGAAGGGGCTTGGGAAGATGAAGGGGCTTGGGAATGGGGTAGGGCTGTATATGAAAGGGGAGGAAGAGGAGGAGGAGGAGGAAGAGACGTGGGTGAAGGTGAGAGGCTAGTTTCCCCTTCTCCTCCCTCAGCCAGAAGACCGATTGCGAGGCGCACGAGAACAGGAGTGTCACACAGTGCAGAATTCATTTCCCTCCGACACGTTAAGGGGCTGTTGCACACAGGCAGCAGTGGGGGCGGCAGCAATGAGTTGGCGTTTGAGTTGGTTCAAAAGTCCCCTAGGGAAGTGAGAAAGCAGCTGCACAGTGGCAGCAGTGGGGGCGGCAGCAGAGACGAGCCTTGTTTGGATCCCTCTAGCTTTGGTCAACGGAGCAGCAGAAGCAGCAGCGGCAGCAGGAGCAGCAGCAAACAGGTCGCGGTAACTCCTACTGGTAGTTCCCGAAGGTCGCATAGGGAAGGCAGACGAAGAGGAGGGGGCGTCTCGATGTTGGATACAGAGGAAAAGGATTCCTCTCGACCTTTCCCCATCACTCGAGCAGCAGCAGCTGCATCACCAGCAGTTGCGGCTCTCTTCTCCTCTGCCCGTCGCCCCCACCCGCCCTTCAGCCCTCGCACTGCCCCCACCTCCCCCTCCTCCCTCTCCCTCCTAGTTTCCCCCCGCTATTCCCGAGGCCGCAGCTTCGGGTTCGGCCGATCCTCCAGCACAAGCCAACCACAGCGCGAGGAGCAGGCACTAGCAGCCAAAAAGGCCCAGCTGGCCACGTTCAGCCGATGTGTGAGGACAGGGCATTGGGAAGGGGAGGCGAGGGGGAAGAGCATCGGGAGGAGTGAGAGTGAGAGTGGGGAAGAGGTGCAATGGGACAGAGGCAGGGGCGGGAGTGGTAGCGCGGGCGGGGGAGGGAGCGGAAGCAGGGGCACCAGCGGGGGCAGGGGCACCAGCGGGGGCAGGGGCAGGCACGGAAGCAGAGAGAAAAGGAATCCTCGTGAGGTGAAACCACCTGGTGGTGGATTCAATAGAGCTGTAGACGGGTCTAGCAGCCGCCGTGCTGATGGCACGGCCGATGGTTACACCGATACCACCAGTGGTTATGCAGACGGCACAGGCGGTTACCACCTCGCACGCGAGCCGTCCCTCTTCTCCCCAGTAGCAGAGGACGAGGGCCAGGAGCCCCTCTCCTCCTCCACACTCTCCTCCGCGTCTTCCTCTGCAGCCTCCCTCTTCCTTCGCTCTATGAGCTCTGGAAGAGCCGAGGACCTGCTATTGCAGCAGTTTCACCGCCACCTCTCCCCTGAGGTTCGCCCCGGCACTGCTGGTGGCGCCTGGGGAAGCAGAAACCACGCTCGTGACGATTCGGGTGGTGGAAATCGGAGTTCCGGCGATTGGGGTAGCAGTAGCGGTGGGAGCGGAGTCACAGGGAAGGGAAGGGACGGGGTGGAGGGACAAGGGGGAGATGGGCGCAGAGGGGAGTTGGGGCGAGGAGGGGGTGGCGCGGTTGGGGGCGCAGAAGCAGCAGCAGGATTACGAGGGGCGTTTGTGTCAGGGCGAGCACGCAGCAGCAGCTTCAGTGGCGCTGCTGGGGGTTTTGCAGGCCGAGGGGGGGGCGGATGGGGGGGAGAGGACGACGAGGGAAGCACACCCGGGGGAGGTACTTCTGGGGGAGGTACACCTGCGGGGGGAACACCCATGGGAGGTGGATATGGTAGCGGGACGAGCAGCGGTGCGGAAAGCACTGGGTCGGTGATTGAAAGAGGTGGCGGTGGTGGTAGCAGTGGGAGAAGGAGAAGCGGGGGTTTGGGGAGCGGGGATGGGGGGGAGGGCAGTGGGGGGCCAAGACTGACTGAGGCTCAGAAGCAGAGGTGGCAGGAGTATCAGCAGCTGCTGCCTCCGCTGACGCTGCCGCCTGTGCTGGAACGCAGGCTGAAAATGCAGGAGGCTGTTTTGAAGAGGCAGGAGGCTCTGCTGCTGGAAGAGCTGCAGCAGCAGAAGGCGCTGCAAGAGCAGAAGAGAGTTGAGGAGCAGCGGAAGCAGGTGGAGGAGGAAACTCAGCAGCAGCAGCAGCAGCAGCAGCAGCAGCAGCAGCAGGCGGAAAGACAGCAGGCTGCAGGAAAGCAGGAGGCGGATTTGGTTTCACAGAAACAAGTAGAGCCACAAAAGGGACAGCAGAATCTGCCAGAGGAGGGACAGCAACAGCAACAGCAACAGCAGCAGCAGCCACAGCTACAGCTGCCGCTACAGCCTCATCCGCCCCAGAAACCAAGGCTGGAGCCGCAGCCCCCCCAGCAGCCGAGGAAGGATCGTGACCGTCCGTTTGTGCGTCAGAGGATCTGCCACTCGGACGAGTTCATCCGGCTGCCAGCTGGCATGACTGCCCGTGGGGGCGGCAGCCTTGTTGGCTTGTCCACGCGGGCGCACTGCCTGGCTGCTGCTGCCACGTCAGAAGAGTCTCCAGCGGGCGGCAGACTGAGCTTAGGAGACGGAGGAGGAGGAGAAGGAGGAGGGGAAGGCGACGGGGTAGGAGGAGGGGGGCGATTGGGAGGAGGAGGGGACGATGGAGGATGGGGCAGAGGAAGGGGAGGAGGGGGAAATGGAGGAGGGGGGCGGGTGGGAGGAGGGGGAGGAAGGGGCAGGGGAGGAAGGGGCAGGGGACGAGGTGGGGGATGGGCGAGGGAGATCCCTATATCCCTGTCCACATCCGGCATTCCTACACCAGTTATGGACGCACAATCAGACACAATGACAGATAGTATTACAGATGCTATGACTCCCTCACTTTCTCCCATCTGCACGCCCCCTCCATACGCCCGCTCGCTCGTGTACGGCCGCTCCCCCCGCACGGCCTTTGACCGCTACCGCATTCGCAGCCTGGGGGCCATCGCGCCAGGGGGGCTTGTGGCTGGATCCATTGTTGTGGGGGGAGCGGAGGGAGCGGGCAGCGCAGCAGCTTCTGGCGCATCTGCTGCAGCCGCTGCTGGTGCTGCTGCTACCAATGATGATGCTGATGCTGCTAATGCTGCTGAATCAGGGGAGGGGGCTGCAGTAGCAAGCTCTGAGGACGAGCAGGGAGGCGGGGCGAGCAGGCTGCGGGGATCAGTGGGGCTCACAGCACCCTCGGGCCTCACCTGGGACGAGGAAATCTCCCGGAAGCTGGCTCTGCGTGGGGTGCAGGTTCGGCCGACCAGCAGCAGCGTTTCAGCAGCAAGCCCCTCGTCTGCTGCTCACCAGCAGTCTGGGCGTCTCTTGACGGAAGAAGGAACTGATTTTGCCGCTGCAGCAGGAGCAGCAGCAGGAGCAGCAGCAGGAGCAGCAGCAGGAGCAGCAGCGGGAACAGCAGGGACAGCAGATGCAACCGCTGCAGCAGCTGCAGCAGCAGCAGGGGGGGCATTCGATGGTGGTGAGCGCGCGAGTGCCCGCCTCTCAGTCTCTGATTGGGTGCGCTCCTCTTCCACCTCCTCCTCAACTCCTGCCAATGCATCCAATGCTGAAGCCGCGGCAGCAGGAGGGGCAGCAGAAGGGGCGGCCGGAGCTCCAGGTGTAATCTCAGGTGGAGACTCAGATGACTGTACCGGTGGGGGTGCAGGGTGGTTGGAGGGGAAGGAACGAGGCAGCAGTCTTTTCTTCGCTGTTCCCGCTGCCCCGAATTCCCATACAGCTACAGGTGTAGGGGCAGGTGGGGCAGCAGGGGCAGCAGGGAGAGGTGGGGACAGAAGCTCCTCTGAAGGTGATAATCGTGCTGCTCCAACTGCTGCCTCTCCTACTGCTGCCTCTCCAGGTGCAAGGCTCGTGCTTGATTCAGCAGCAGGCTCCTCTAGATCCCTCCCCGGGCACATATCACCACCATCACCTCCACCATCGCCACCACCAACTGGCACAGCAGCAGTATCAGGGTTATCACCTGGGAGGTCCCTCCACCATTCCCCAAGGTCACCTACACCAGTTATCACCTACCCCGATTTCAACGAGCTTTCTCTCGGCTTATCAGAGACCATTCCCCTCACGCCCTCCCTCTCTGCCAAGGGGTTTTCCCTGCCCGCCTCCCCTGCTGCTGCCGCCTTTGCTGCTGCCGTGGCTGAGGTTGACGCGTCCGGGTTCGCTGTACCGGAGCAGATGCTGCGGGCAGAGAAGGGCGGGAATGAGTTGGGATCGGAGAAGGGCGGAGCAGGGGGGTCGTTCGCGTCTTGGCGCTCCGGGAGTGTTGCTAGCAGCGGGGGGAGTGTGAGCAGGGGCAAGGCAACTAAAAAGGTGAGCAGATGTTGCGGGCAGAGAAGGGAGGGGATGAGCTGGGGTTGGAGAAGGGAGGAGCAGGGGGGTCATTTGCGTCGTGGCGCTCGGGGAGTGGTGCTAGCTAGCAGTGGGGGGAGCGTGAGCAGGGGCAAGTCAGCGAAAAGGGTTAGATTATTGTTTGAGACGTCGCAAACTTATGGCTCTTGGGGGTAGTGGGAGTGGTGCTGGCAGTGTGAGCGTGGGTCGGGGCAAGGCACAAAAAAATGTGAGATTATTGTTTGAGACGTCGCAATATTATGGCTCTCGGGGTGCGGTGTGAGTAGTGGGAGCGTCAGCCGGGGTTGGATTGGAAGCTGTTGCACGGGTTTCGTGTATCTTGAGAGGTGCTCGGAGTGGTGTGTGGGCAGAGGCAAGTCCAATATCAAGGTGAGTGCATGTGTTTGTGTGTGAGCTGCTATCGTGCAAAGAGTGTCAACATGATTGTGTTAGCACTGCTCTTATCTTCTCCACTATAAGCTTCTTCTCTGTGTACACTGTACATGCTTTGCCCCGTGAATTTGTCCTTCAACCTTTTGTATGTGCTTGGTTTCTACTGTATTCCACAACTCAACCTAATGTATCGTGTGCCCGCCCTTACGGTATGTCTGGAATGTGTGTGTGCATCTATGCATGTGCCTGTAAACATGTGCCTCTAACGCAGGAGCTTCCGACATGCTGTGTTATCAGTTAATCTCTCGCTTCAGTGCCGGCTGCGTGGTCGGTCAGTGTCTCGCTTCAAGGCGTGCATTCAAGCGGTTTCATATGGTAACTGGCGCATGATTGGCCGTGTTATTTATCTGCTGTAGCTTTCCAGAACGTACCTGTTTGGGTGGCATCCATTGGCAGTTTTCTGTTATTGCAGTAGTCCCCTGTCGATGTATATTATTATCGTAGAACTGCCATGTAGTGCATTTTCACCTCTGTGATGTGTACCCAAAGATACGGTAGCACTGATACTGCAGATGCTATTGTATCTGACAATTACAGTTGCATATGTTGAGATAACATCGAGACTTAAGCACTTCAAGGAACTCGTGTAGTACAGTTAGTACAGTGCGAGACTTCGCACGTAATAGTAAAGTACCGATAGGATGACGTCAGCAAGTAGTTGTAGGCCACACGAATAGTCACGTACCGTTTCATAACAGGAATAGCGTGAATAGCGCGGTACAATAGGCGAATAGGTACTTTACTCTAGCTATATATTCTGTATGCTTGTCATTTTATAATATACTTGATTTCAGAGACATTTGTTGGAAACAATTGATTTAAGCGCCTCTATCGAGTCGAAACACCAAGTCAGAAGCGAAGCAGAACATATCGAAGCATCAGCGAGTCAACCCTCGGAGGTTGAACAACTGCTGGAGGTTACGCGAAAGTCAAAGGTCAGCGACCTTTGACCTGACAAGTACAGCGCGACAGCAAGGACAAACAACTGACTCGCTATTGAGCAGTTGCCCGAGTCGTCACTGTACCGAACCGCAACAGCAATGGTAAAACGGTTATTAGTTATAACCTTTCATATTCCCTTGTATTCTTATAAAAGCTTGTATCTCTTTGTTATTAATCAATCTACTTTGCCCTCACATACTAGCGCAAGGTGGTTCACAAAGTCTTTTATTTAACGCTTCCGCTATTACATTGTCCTACCCTGAATTTTTGTCCTGCAAAGATCCTAAGGGCTTTCTCAGCCCAACATGGTATGAGAGGAGTCAGGACAAATTCAACTACAACCAAGACACCCACAACATCACAAGACATGGCAACGCAGAAGGAGAGAAGCTCCTCTAACGGCTCTCCCGGTACTACTCCTACTCCACCTCCTGCCTCTGGCTTACAGACAGAGGAGGGTACGGCAACAAGACCAAGGGCAACGTCTACCGAAACTCCCGCAAATCAAGCCGCGGCCTTCGACACAGACATGATGGAGAAATTCTTCTCCTTCATGTCCTTCTACGAACAACACCAACAAGGGGCACCTGCGCAGTCAAACAACAGCAACAACAACAACGCAACACCAATGAGCCTCGACAGTTCATCCTACGCACGCGGAAATCAACAGCAACAGCCTACCTTTGCTCCGTACGAGCCCCAGCGTGGCTCCGTCAGCTTTATGCCACACCCGCAGCCTGCACCTGGACAAGAGAAGACACCGGACGCACTTCAAGTTCAGTCGCAGTTCTCGCACGTCTTAAAACTGCAAACGACAAGGCTTTTCGACGGAAAGGACTTCTTTACCTGGTCATTCGAGTTCGAGCTAATGATGGAAGGCGCGCAGATTCTTGGCTTTTTCGACGGGTCCCTGCCATATCCAACACACGGCACACAGTACGACAAGCAGCAGTACACGTATCAGTCAATGATGGCGTACACAATACTACTGAGAAACATCACTCCGAATCAGCAGCAGAATATACAGTCTTACCGGGGATACGGCAACTCAGCAGAACTCACATACAACCACCTGAAGAACCTGTATCAAGCAACAGACAGCGTCAATCAAAGTCGGTTAATGGCGCAACTGACAACAGTCGAAATGAAACCAGGCGAAAAGGGGATGGCGTATATCAGCCGTTGTCACGAATTGCGCGACAAACTCCTTCGATGCGGAGGGTCGATTTCAGAAGACGCCTTCGTCACAGTCATCATCGGCGGTCTCGGTCCTCAGTGGCGCTCCACTCGCGCCATACTCCGAGCCCACGGAAAAATATCAGAAGCAGCACTCTGTGCCGAGATCCACGCTGAGCAGCAAGATATGGACCTGCAAGAAGAACGACACAAGAAGGCATCAATGCCCGAATTCGCATTTCACACTCAACGGCGCTACAACAACAACAACTATCGGCATCAACCGAAACCAGTACCTCCGTTCTGACACCTTTGCAAGACGTCAGGTCACCCCCGTACACACTGCCCAAACCGGCCGCTTCGCCCTTCAAGCAGTCAAGTCGCCTCAACGCAAGCGAATCCGACCTCTCAAGTACAAGCCTCAACAACATCGACGGGACAACCTATGCAAGGAACAAGAAACATCGTCAGTTGCATGGCACGGCTGACCGACTCCTGCATCACAGAGTCACCACCACATTACTCACCAGAAGAACAACTCGACGAAAGGACTCCACGTCGAGAAACACTGCAACCGAACCCAACGTACGCAGCCATCGCCCAAAGCGAACCGTCTGGGAAGGATACCTGGTTCTTGGACAGTTGCTGCGGACAGCATATGTGCTCTTCAGGACGCTTTGTTCAACGTGAACACCAACTTCAACGCGAGGTCGTCATCACCGTCGCCAACAATCAGAATCTGCGCACACGACGACAAGGTGTAGTGCAACTTCAGTCACGAGAAACAAACGTCATACTGCAGATGTCGAAGGTTTTAATAGCAGAAAGGCTTGGTTACAACTTACTGAGCGTCAGTCAACTGATGGCGAAGGGCATACACCTCGAAGCAGATAGCACCACTCAGGATTTCAAGCTGTATAACGGGAAAGGCGGTCTCTACATCGGGAAGGCGGTCCTGAAAAACAACGTCTTCGTTCTCGACTTTGTCCCAGATCTTGGCACCGCTGACAGCGACGGGATTGTCACTTTCACCTCCTGCACACATCCACCGGATCTCGACCCCGACTTCAGTCCAGAAGGCTTCTGGTACTCGCACACCATCCCTGAGACAGAACGAACAAGAGCATTAGCAACAATTCAACACTCGGCAGCAGCAGAGACAACATCGGCAGCAACAGAGACAACATCAACAGCAGCAGAGACAGCATCGGCAGCAGCAGAGACAACATCGGCAGAGACAACATCGGCAGCAGCAGAAACAACGGCAGCAGCAGCAGCAACATCGACACCAATCGCTGGTCCTTCAACTGCATCGGCTCAAATCGACGACACTCCACCGACTCCTGCACAACAGCTTAACCCAACACCACGAGAAGTACATCGAAGTGCAAACTTTACCGCAAGCCTCTACTCCAACTCCGACTTGTATCGTCGCTCACCCGGACATCGCGCTAGCGAAGACATCTGGCACGCACGAATGGGACATCCAAGCAACACGGTGTTAAACAACACAATCAGAGCAGGAGTACTCGACAAAGATTCACTGCTCCTAACCGATGGAAGCGAACTTCGACGAGCGCATGGAACGTGTTTTACCTGCCCCAAAGCTGACTTACCACATCGGCCATTCACTTCTCACCACAACCCCAGCGCACCAACTTACGCACCACTTGAGAAAGTGTACAGCGATATCCTGTACAATCGCGAACCTGGACAAGGAGCATACAGCTACACCATCACGTTCATCGATGCCGCTACGCGTTACGTTTGGCACCTTAACCTTCCGAGCAAGGACATGGCTTTCGAGGCCTTCGTCGCTTGGCTCCCAGTAGCAGAACGAGAATCTGGCGTGAAACTAAAAAGCTTCCAGTCAGACGGAGGAGGAGAATACACCTCACATAGGTTCAAGCAGTACTTGGCAGAAAGAGGAATCAAGAGGCTCATCTCGCTTCCCTACGCCCATCAACAGCAGGGCGTGGCAGAACGGATGAATCGAACTCTCCAGAACACCATGCGCAAATTACTGCGTGTCATGCGACTGCCCAATCACCAATGGCCTGAGGCGATGGACCACGCCGTCATGCTGCACAACTTGCTTTCGTCGTCATCACTACCGAACAACGCATCACCGCACCTGCTGTGGACAGGAAAACAGGGCAGCACAAAAATGTTAAGAGTTTTCGGCTGCATGGTACAGTATCGCCCACACACTGCAAGAGCCGGAAGATTTTCTCAACGCGCACATTGGGGACTACACCTGGGCATCGAATGAAATTACAACGCGTGGAAGATTTTCGACGTCCACTCCAAAGAAACAGTAGCAGCACGTGATGTCATTTTCTACGAACGACTTACCCTTCCGACGTATCTTGCCAACCTGGAAGAAGATCGGGATCCCACAGGTGGCTTCCGTGGTGACCGAGCCTTCGCCTCGGCAGCAGACGAAGCTAACTGGGACGAGCAGAACGTGGATGAAGCCTCGGAGGAAGCCGGACCTCTCCCTTACTGCTCCTTCGATATCCCAATGGATGACGAAAATCCTCGCGAAAGCGCCAACGCCGACGTATTTTACCACTTTGCCGACAATGGTTACGTTACACCCGCAG